TGGCTGGCTAGAATACAAGGGGATTAATCTCTTACCAAATTAATCCATCACCTTAAATGCAACACATACAAATTAATAAATGTATGAGATTCCAGCCTCCTTTTGCTGTTTACATGCTCTATTTGCAGAAAAATCTTCAGCTGGAATTTTCACATTCTTAGACTTCAAAATATCAGCCAGTAGGTACAAACTAGAAAGAAACTTGGCTTTTCTCATTTTGATAATCACAGAACTTCTTGGTTTGTTTTCTCTTTCTCTTACCAAGGTTGTGGGAATCCATCCAGAATGTAAGATATTCCACCAGGTGGTCAAAGAGGAGGCTCTCTGCTTAGAAAAGAATGACTCTGTTTCATCCGATCTTAAAGGTAATGGTCTTGACAATTGTCAAGCTTTTATATAAATATCCCTTGTATATCATCTCAGGGACACAATGTCCAGATACCGTTCATTCTCCTGAGTCAAGATTTGATTCCTATTTTATGTGGTTTCTTAAGAGTTTGAAGTGCTGCTTCTATAGGCTGGGACATTACCTCATCTCTTTTTAAACATCTTTAAAAGCTCAATGTCTAAGTCAGGACTTGTCTTCTCAGATTTCCTCAAAGTAACTGGAGGAAGGTGGGTGACCCTAGAACATGTTTTATTGCCTCTGGTTTAGATGCTTGCTTGAGAATGAGATGAATCATTCTCTGGAGTAGTATTTCTCTTTACTAACTACAGAATGAAACTGAGATGATTAGTTCAGACCATGACAATTTTAGACAGTTAGGTCAGGAAAACCCTACTTAGAATGTGTTAGATTCCTAAACTATTTGGTGTGTTATATCAAAAACTACAAAGAAGCTTTCACAGAAGACACTGAATAGCATGCTGAACTTATATTGTGTTGGGAATCATTCCAATCTGGCGAAAATGTTCTTTGAAAAAAAAAAAAAAAGAAAGAAAAAAAAGAAAAAAAATAAACCCAGCTTCTTCAAACTATTATATTTCTACATTTTTTGAGGTACTTTGTTTCTTTGTTTGTTTGAAAAGATTTATTATGGTGATGTTTTCAAATCTATTACATGCTCAAATAAAAATTTTGAAAATTAAAATGAATGTTTCAGAGACCCTGTAAAATATTTTTAAAATACTGCGTAGAGGGTTCTCTTTGCTGACGTTTTGGCATTGTGGACACATGTCCTTAAAGTACTGTTAAACTATATAAAAATCTTCAACCTTGTCAACTCTTATCTTCTCAAAGCTCTCCTTTCTATCTTTTATTCTCTGGAGATGGAAAGATTTGAATAAAAATCTGTTCTCAATATATTTAAAAATGAACATTAGATCCCAAAAAACAATTAAACCCCAATATTTTATCTAGACTAAGATTGGTAAAAGTCGCTAGCTTGCATTTCAATTTTCAGGAACTGAATGAAACAAACTGAAGGATCACAATTTGTACAGTTACTTCTCAGTAGTCACAGAGAATCTGTGCTGGAATTAGTCTATGTTACAGACTTTCTAATCTAAAGTAGTTCCACATTGTTCTTGTACAGAACAGCATGTAATGAGTGTCATCAATAAAGTCCAGGATGTAATTCCTCTCATCTTGAAGGAGATGTGTAAAATAGGTCGATTGAATCAAGCTCTAAAAATATTTGGTTTTCTCCATTGTCTAAAAAAAAGAAAAAGAGCCCTAAATTACTGGAAAACACTTTAACATCTATGAGCTCAACATTAATTGATACATTTCCTACTGGAGTTGTCTTTATGGAGTCTCAGGTGACTTGGACAATCACCAGTCTCTTAAAAACCTTGGTGTGTAAAATGTTCTTTCTGCCTCTGCACTCAGCGGTTTCTTTGATATAAACTGTAGAAATGACAAAATGAAGTCAGATCTAAGACTTAAAACATACAGATTCCATCCCTAGATAAGGTCAACTGATTCTTGTTTTTAAAGCCACATTACCAAATATGATAGATTTTTAGACCCAGCTCCTCAAAGGTATTACAGTCCCTCTAATAGAGAGGGACCATTTAAGTCCCTAAATCTAAGTGTGTGGGCCACTGCATGTCTAAGTGGGACTATTACTTGACTTTATTAATTTGAGAATTAGCAGCCCATTTTATGCTATAACCATCAGGGAGACCTAGGTATTTGCAGCGAGTGATTCACCCTTTCCTCAGAAAGGGGCCACCAATATATGGGGTGAATCATGTGCTGGAAGTCCCTGTCTCTTAGCTGTTAGGAACATAGCTAAGAATAGCTAACGTATTTTAGACAATTAAAACTGGAGATAATGAATCAGGACTCCTAATTTCCTATCTGGCAAATTGGGGGTATCAGGAATTTCATCCTCCTGAGGGTGATGTGAGGAGAATGCTGTGGGACATTCCCGGGACTGTCATTTCAGAAGCCAGAGACTTTTGCTCAGCTACTGGCAAGTAGTATTGCTTCCACATTTCAGCTCTTGACAGTTTTAGATTTGCCTTGTCATCAGTCATAGAGAAAACAGAAAAGAATCAGTGAAATAAAACACCACTCCCCAAATGAAATTCATGCACTGCTTTATATCCATTTTAGGACTACCTAGAGATTGGTTTGGGATACAGCATGGTGTTTTTTTCATTGGTTCAGGCACCTTTACATGCTGATAATTTTTCTGTCCTGCACCCACACCTACTTCCCAACAGATGCTGTATGACCACAGCCTGAGTCTCACTGTGATGCATCCATGACAAAGATGCAATTAAATATAACTTCTGAAAATCGTTTTTATTGGACTCACATCTAGTAGCATGCCCTGTGCCATCAGCTGCAATCTCTGGTTTAGGGAACCTCATGAATGACAATCAGTCAGATCTATTCCTGATGATGATTATTTTATATGATGCTGGGAGATGTTTGGAATGAATCTAATCTCTATTGAAGTCCATTTTGAAATTCCATTGTTTGTCTAAGACCAGAACTTCAGCCCTTATTTCCATATTGGTAGACTTTAAATGTGAAATCAAAAGACTAAGGCTGAAATTTAAGTCTGATATTTTTCAGTTAGACTCTGAAACGAGTAATGAGAAAACTCAAGTGCTAATACTTATTCAATATTTTTAATTTGGTGACATTTTTTTTGACAATAGAAAGACTTTCAGATTGCATCTCCTTGAGTTTCAGGTACATTCTCTCATGAAATCAGGTAGGGGAAGGTCCAGCTGGAATCCTGAGTGCATATGTTGAGCCACGATTTATTCAAGAAGAGGGAAATAATACAACCCTTCTCTTTCAGATCTGCATGTCCTATTGTGGCTCTTCTTGCATGTGAATTAGTGGGAAAGTCACAGACAATCTCATTATAGAAAATCAACTGTATGATGTTCTGTGTGTGTTTCTTCATTTAGAGGCACTTTTTTTTTTCAGGGTGCTCCACAGATTGGGATGGTCTAACCTGCTGGCCTAGAGCCACTTTTGGGGAAGTGGTTAAAGTTCCCTGTCCAAGAATTTTTGAAGAAATCACCAATATCGATGGCAAGACCTTTTTCCTATTCTTTTCATCCCTACATATTTTTCAAAAATAAATTCTAATAGTTACAGATTCAGTAACTTGCATATTTTCCTGAGTCACAATGCTATCATATGTCAGTTGACATACAATAATTATCCAAATACATGGCTAGGTTTATGGTCAATATTTGACACTTTTTTGTTTTGTGTCATGCTGTACTGAATTTTCTAACCTCTTTGGTGGTCTAAAAAATTATGGGTAATTTCACTATGTCGCTAAGTTTATAAAGGAATACAAATATGGCAAAGAATCACTGAATTATAAAGTCATAGAATAGTAAAAGTTAGAAAGCACCTCTTGAGGTCACTGTCCAATCCTCCAGTCATAGCAGGACCAAGTTCAAAAATTGTATCTAACTTCAAAGCTAGATCAGATGGCTCAGTGCTTTGTCCACAAGCACAATTATATTGTAAATGCAGGAAAGACTGCATAATTTGATTTCCTCTGTGTGAGGATTGAGTTTGCAGAATAAATTTCCTGTATGAAATGTAGAAGTTCCACTGTATCTTGAAATGAATGGGAATATCTGTTTCAACTTCTCAAAAGATAGATAGACAGAATATTACCACTCCATAGCTAATCTTGCTGAACACGACTAGACCTGTAAGTGCCAGGAATCAAAGTAGGAATAAAAACTTGTTGTTTCTTGTCAAAACTTAAAGAACCCTCTCCCATAACTCATCCTTTGATATATTTTACCATTAAAGGTTTTCTTCAGAGAAACTGTACACAGGAGGCATATTGGTCAGAACCATTCCCATCATACACCATTGCCTGTGGATTTGATGAAGGTTCCAGTAAAGGGCCTGAGGATCTGGTGAGTTTTTTATTTCCTGCTTGTGGACATCTCCAGAGCACCCTTTTCTGAGTGTGCTGAGTAGCTGGGTCCTTTCACACATCTGATCCCTGTTAGAATCCAGTAATAATCGATCTTCAGTGCTAAGCTCAAACCTTTTTGGTATATTTAGAACCTGTTAACAAATTAGGTTTAATATAAAGCAAGGGAGTAGCAGGTAGCACTTTCCATCCAGTTGTTTCCTCCTAGTGTTAATGAGTCATGATTAGTTCTCTTGACCTGCCTAACAAAGACTTGGGTTTTCTGACAGAGGTGACTTGAACCTTCATCATGCACCCATCTCCTAAGGAAGCCCTACCAACCTGTCTGGGAGGAATCCAATTCATTTGGATCCCACCTGATCTCCAGATGTTCTCTGAGTCAGATGAAAAGATTCCGTAACTTCATAGCATGGTGGTCAATGCACACCTTTAGGAGGGAACTCTTGGATGCCACTGAGTATTTCCACACTTTATCTTAGGTATTCAATGCAGTAAGAAGTGAACCTTTATTTTTCCTATCTGATGATCATCACTGGCACTCAGGCTACAGAAGCATTTATTTTTCACCCGTATCTTCATATAATTTATATTTCCATGTTTCTCATCATTGTACTTGGCCTCAGAATAGGAATGCTTCATACTTCATTGGTGGTGGTAGTGTCTCAGTGGCGAACTTTACCTCATAGCTGAAGGTTGTTGATTAAGAGACATGCTCACTGCTTCTGCCTTTGAGTTCTGACCTTTGCTAAAAAGGACAGTTTGAGCAAGGGATAATAGGGATGTCTCCATCCCCTCATCGCCAGTCTGTCTTGGACCAGGCTCATACATCTTGCACAAATGCAAGATGGGGTACATCACTGCCTCATCCTATTGTGGTACCTTGAAAGAAGCAATGGATTCTCTCCAATCTATAAAAGAAAAGACTAACTCATATAGCTTGTTGTGAGTGTGTAGTCATGACTCCATAGTGGAAAAAGGTCGTTTGTCACACGCCAAAGCAAGACACAGAAAGGTGAAGAGGGTTGTCATCACTGGGTATTACCTGGAGTAGACCGTTTGGTTCTCAAGCTCAAGCACATAAGTACTGGCTCAGATATCTGAATCTTTAGGATGTGTAGACACAATTGGCTTCAGCCATTTGACTCCATGATCTTAGAAACTCAAACACAGCTGTAACAGGCAGAATAGCTATCTGGAGTTCAGTTCCCCACCTGTAAGCTAAGAATATTTGTACTTCTTCACACTGTGGGGAAGCTAGAAAGAAAAATGCTTAAAAAACTTCTGGACAGGTGCTGGATACCATGCAAACAGTTCAGAAGGCATGTAAGACTTGTAAGGTGACTTGTATTCTGGAGGACAGTTCTCCAGCTCTGGGGCCAGCTGTCATGTGTGGTGGTGCAGTTCTTACCCCTCCCTGCTCCTCCTTGTTGGGCTGCTTGGTGCTGGATGTGATTCCACCCACTTCCCCTGAGCCATACACCAATTTGTGGAGTTAAGGACTGATAACGTTAAGGCGCCCCCTTAACAAGCCTGGCTTCTGCCCCTACTGAATGCTCAGAAAGGGTTATAACAGCCCATCATCTCCTAATGGCCTGGCACACCTGTGCCTGGGACGGTCAAATGGCAACAATAACAGAGTTGCACATTCATCAAGTTCTTGTGAAACTGCTGAAAGGCACCAGAATACTTCATTGTTCGAGCTGGGCATGAGCAAAAGGTATCTGACAAAAGTCAATTATCTTGGACCCTATAAACTGCAACCACAAGGGAGACCCTTTGAGCTCCCCTGGATCGCAGCGGGCCTGTGACCAGCATCTCCCCTGAGCTGGGATGCCTCTCAGGTACCAAAACCCTTAAGGTGTCGTCTGCTGCCAGAGCTGATGGAAGGCCAAGGTGAAGTCAACCTGCTCAAGTCTCAATTATCACCCACGGAGGAATGCTAAGGCATTGTGTGTATTTACTCTAAACTCAAGAGGAGGGAAAAATTTTACTTTGAGCTAGCTTCTCTTTCACCCTCTCTTTCTCTGCTTACTGGTGTGTGGGTACATACTTCATTCTACTGGATCCGAATCCTTTTGTCTCTGTGTGTGTTTGTATGTTTTGTGTTCATTCTACTGGATCAAAATCTGTTCTCTGTGTGTATTTGTGTATGCACACGTACATATGTATAAATTAAGATACCATAGAGAAAGTTATTGTGAATCTTGTAATCTTAGAATCTGTAAATGTCACTACTTTTATAACATTTTCTGAATTATTTTGTAAAAGATCGATTGATGTTATTTATTAATAAATCTAAAAATCCTGTTAAATCATTTCTGTGTTAATGCTTTCATCTGCAACACTATGTCATGACTCTCATCCGCATAGCTTGCTCTCTAGGGTGGCTTTCTCCAAGCAGTCCCTGACATGTGCTAAGCCAGGCATAGTTTGTAGCTGGCCTAGGCTGAAATCAAGCAAGGGGTTATATTTACATTTAACATTATGGAAGATTTCAGGGTAGAGCTCATGTTTGTACTGTGACTGTGTTTAGCTTGTTATTCCGGTCAAATACACAGGTTGACTGGCAATAAGATCAGTAAGATATACTGCATTGTAACCATAAGGAAGGAAGTAAGAAGAATCTCACTTATATTCTAAGAGAACCACATGTTTTGTGTTGTGTATCTGCAGTGAGGACTTATGATGTCTTCTGCATATAGTGTTGTTTGTTAGTTACCCTACAAAAACAGCTAAAATTAATCAAAATACTTAATAGTTCAACTGAAGAACCTATTTTTTAATTTTCACCTGAAACACCAGGATGATTCCAAGGTTGTTAGGGTTGCATGATTTATTTATGGATTTACTAAGAATTGCTAATTGGTTGTCTCAACCTGGAATTGTTGTCTTTTGGACAGAGTTTGGATCAATTAGAGAACAAAGCGTCCACTGCATTTGCAAGGAGGAAATTTGTCTGGATTGAGAGAATTTAGTTTCTTGGGATTTTAAATAATTAGGTGATCTTGTAGTGAATCAGAATAAAATTTGCATAGATAAAGCAATGTAGGCGTGCTTCATTTTTCTTAGGACAAATGAACTATAAAGAATTTACAGTGTTACAATATCCAGAAGCTGAATTAACTCTTTTAGACTGTGATCTTATTTTCTTGACTTTAACATTTAACCTCCACAATACAATGTGATTGTTTCATACCATTTCAGTTTCCTACCCTGCAAAATGCAAGTTTTATTTCTCTTTTAGCCATAGCTGTTTATGAAAACCAATACTTATTGAATCTGCCCAGGTCTAAAGTGACGGATTCACAAATTGCCCATCAGCAGGTTTCAGTGCCCTAAAGTCTTTTTGTACCTATAGGGGAAAATGTAGTTCCTTAACAAAATTAATATCTTATTGTTAAACATGCTCAAAGGGGTCACTATTGCAGATGAGCCTGTGGGCTGTGAAACCTGTCTCATGTGTAAGGTTAAGTAGGAATCAAAAGAAAAAAAGGTGTGTTAGTGATGGAGGGAAACCCTGAAGCACAGCTCAAGCATGCAAAGCACCACATAAGTGATGGGATGGCTGGTAAGGAAAAATGTATCACAGTGAAATAAGCACACCAGCATGCATGCTGCATAACCACCAGCATTGGTCTGTGTTCTCTTTTTCTCACAGAAATCATATTATTCTGCGTTTTGGCGTGTCTACACTGCTGGCTATGCAGCATCAGTGACTTCACTCATTACAGCTCTAATTGTCTTTGCTGCCTTCAGGTAAAAACAAATGATCTCTTTTTCAGGATGTCTTAAGATATTGCCTCATCCTAATTCCTCTCAAACCCTCTGTGTTTTTGTTTTGTGGGAATTTTTTTTTACTATTATTTTGAAATCCTTCTCAGACATAACACCTTTGATGGCAATGGATTCTTCTCTTTTCATGTTATAGCATTTTGCTGCAGATGTTAAAACAAAAAAGCTGGCTGGACCCTCTGTTTTAGTCTGTTTAATGACACCATACAATGGAAATGCTCCAACCTTTTATCACTATTAACATAACTATTCCTCCAGTGCATAGCAGGACATAAATCTGCAGAAACTGAGTGTCTCATGTCCCTGAACCATCAGTAATTCTAAACTGTCCAATCTTCATAAATGAGAGCTATAGAAAGAGATTTAAAGAAATTAAAATATCACATTAGGTGATGCTGGATATTAGGAAATGGATCCTGGTTTTGGATGGTTCCAATGTACTTGGACAAAAGTGTTAAGCTTACTCTGCAAGCAGGAGTGCAGAGCACAGAAACAGCATTCTAACTGGTGGATTTGCAGTCCCCAAAATCATATCACTTCTAGAGATACCTGGGACCAAGAGGCTGATATGTCCAAACCCTGAAGGATATTGCTTCAGCTCAAACTGTGAACATCTAAGGAAATGCAGTCTAAGGTAAGGCAGCTACTTCTGTGGCAGCCATCCCACAACATGTGACTGACACCCACTCAATCTTCTGTTCTCTGGACAGAAAGAGGCTGAAGAGCCTGTCTGCAAGTTTGTTCAACAAAAAATGCTATTTAGAATAATTAAAAGGCATTATTGCAGTACAGCCCAAGAGTCCCAGAGTTTCTCTTCTAGCATCACTTTTAAATGTGTGGTGATTCAAGAACAATTATACTAGTACCTTTATTAGCTTAAACAGATAACTGCTCTGCTCTCTTGTGTCTAGCTCCCTCTCAAATAGTGACCGATCATTTATTTGTTTTTGAAGGTGTCTGCAGTCACTCTGTATTCCTGTCTGAGTTTTGATAAGACCATGACAATTTTTTCTTGCAGAACAATTTTTATTTTCTCTTTCCATGTCAGAAAATTCCACTGTACACGGAATTACATCCATATGCACCTGTTTGTCTCCTTTATCCTGAGAGGAACTGCTGTTTTCATCAAAGATGCTGTTTTGTTTGCAGATGAAACTATGGACCACTGCCTAATGTCAACGGTATAAACTTCTCCTCTTTTATCCTTTAATTTAATTCTTGACCTGAAGAGAACATGGAGATTTATTAATCCAATTTCTCTTTAGTTTGCTAGAACTGAAATCTTAAACCAAAACAGTACTACACAAACCTGACGACCAAGTGCTATGGTTACATTCAGCTTTGATATATAAGGTACAGGCCTGTTGACTCTAGTGAAGTTGTAACAATTTTGATCAGTGCAGAATTTAATCTACAATAGAGGGTCAATGTTTCCATTTCAAAAAACTGAAGTAAAGTCAATTTAAATGACGAAATCCAAACTCGACTGAAATCTTGTAATAATTTCTTCATTCTTATGTGGTAATATTGAATTTTGCCTATACTTGTAGAGAAACCAGGCACAATGGAGAGTAGACCTAATAGGGTTTTTCTTCCTCTGCTTTTCCAGGTTGCTTGTAAAGTTGCTGTGGCATTCTTTCAGTTCAGTGTTTTAGCTAATTTCTTCTGGCTTCTTATAGAAGGGATATACTTGCAAACACTGCTTTTGCTGACCTTTGTTTCGGACAGGCAGTATGTATGGTGGTTCATATTTACCGGCTGGGGTTAGTACTCTTTTCCTCTTTGTCCTATTTAACACTTCCATTACTTTCAGAACTAGATAAAATATTTGTTTTTAAAATAAATGGTGCCTAGCAAAAGTGTCACCTTTCTGGTGAAACCTGCCCATTCATGCAGTACTACTACATCAAAATCATACATTGTTCTGTCTTTCTTCTCTTGTTAGATATTTAACTATTCAAAACATCGAAGGACAGGATAGGATGGATTACTAGAGGCACTATGATAATTCTACTTGAAGACTGCAGCACGTTATGATTGGAATTAATTTAATGCAACTGCAGTAATTTAAAAGTTAGCCATCTAATCTAAATTATCTCTCCAGGTTTCTCCTGAAGTTGGTAGAGTGAGATATGCATGCCATGATGGTAATTAATCCTCAAGAAGATGAATAATGTAGCTGGATAACATCCTGGAAACATGTTGCCTTCCTCCTCTGACTAAAGTAGTTTGAGTGACTAACTTTAAATTGACATTTTGGTTTTAGTAAGAAGAATTAGAGAGATTAATCTTAAATTATGTGAACTCAGGCCTAGGAATCAAACAATTCTATTTTTTTTCAGAGACCTTCTGGCTTTAGAGAATAGTTTGAATTTATAAAACAATTTAAATTATCTCTGTTGGAATATGTGCACATAATAGATACATTTTTTTTTTAATTTCAGAGAATTGTTTGTTGTTACTCTCATATATTCTTTTACCTCATCTTGGCTATTATAAAACAGAGGCACCCGCATTGATATTTTTGGTTTAGGAGTGAAATCCAAATCCTCCTGAAGTAAATAGTAAATTTTACTTCCTCTAGAGTTTCTCATTTTTTTTTTTTTTGTAATTAAACTTTTAAAGTCTGTATTTTATAAGGTTGATGTTGATTTGGAGCTATTCCAATTATGATTTCCTGAAACTAGATGCTTAGACTTTGATTAATCACAGCTAACTAGAGATTACAAAGGAAACACCTCAATTAATAATGTAGAAATCTTCATCTTCTATAATCAATGGAAAGTGAGAGACACCTGAGGGGCAGCTCAGATATGGATTTGATATGGATGTAAATATTCCTTTTTGTTAATTAAAAAGACAACTTGAACTGAATATGGTCCTAACTTAAAGGCCTCGAACAAAGGTCTAACATTAGGAAGGACAACTTCTGGGCCTTTACTACAGATCTGAAATGATACTTAAAAAGATATGACCTATGTTGCTATAGATTTGTCAGTGAAAATGTCACTTGCTTCAGATTAAAGTCCCTTTGTGGCAGCTCTGAAAGTCACTTAGTGTTTGGAAATTCAATTCCACAGGAGAGCAAAAGCATTTGCTAGTTTATAGGCCTGCTTGAAACAAACAAACAAAACTATTCAGTCATAAATGTAGAAGGATAAGCAGTGATAAAGTGAGGCTAGATATCACGTGTTCCAGGATTTAACTAAGTTTTTATGGAATGCTGTTCAACTGATGGGTCTAGAGTGATTAGTAGAGTCTCTCCAGGACAAAAAAGTGAACTTTTCCAGCTTGTGTACAAGGAGTTGTGTCCAGGCCACAATTCACATTGCAAGTGCTTGTAATTCATATCCAAACCCTTAAGTAATTCCTACCTGTTAATTCTGGAAACATGGTTTCACAGCATCCTCTATTTTCCTTTGTTTCGATTCCATTCTCCTGCCTTTTTTTTTTCCCCCTTTATTTTCCTTTCCTTGAACTGCAAGTTAAGTTTGTTCAGAGAGTTATTTAAAATTGTCTGACCCATTATTTGATCTTTAATATCCATCCAGTCTGTCTCAGTGTGAACCTTCTTGGAATAAAGTTTCCATGGGTATTCAAAACAATTATATTGTCTTTTATATTGGTTTGTCCAGGAGGCCCCACTGCTGTGATGTTTGCTTGGGTCCTCACAAGAATCCATCGACAAAATACTGGGTAAGTCAGAGCTTGGATAAGGAAGCCAAGGACATCCTATTTAGTATTGTATTTTGACTTTCTAGTGGGGAAAAATAGATATCAAAACCAGATAAACAAAAAAAATCCTTCCAAAGTTGTGCCTCTAATCTTTACACTTCATACACAAGTAAGAAAAGTTTCAAGTCTTCGATTTTGATGTTCATATATAGAGTAATAAAACCTAAAAATATCATAATAATTATTGAAATTTCATATAGTCTCCTAATACCCAGTCCTTGAAATAATTATATTTTAAGGAAATTATTGTTTCTGTATGAAATCAGCCATAAATTACTAACCTTAATCTCTTCAAATAAGTACCTCCCCAAAAACCACATTATGTCCTGATAAGTAGTTTATTTAATTTTCATTCAGTTATTTGATTATTTATTTATTTATTTAAATTATAATCTTTTAATATGAGAGCCAGGTATAAAGCAGATGATTGTGTACAAAAAACTGCCCTGAAGATCTTCAGGTCAATTCATGTGTGTGATCTGTTGGAAAAGATACTATTTTACACCTACCTGCTCAGGACTCTGGTTAATGATATAGAAGCAGTAAATTCTATGGTCCATCACATTTGGAAAATCCTATTTTCCTTTCTGCAGATTACTGGAGAACATCTGCAGAAGTTGTTCTCCAGTGTAATAAAGAGAAGTAGTCTACCTTTCCACATCATGTGCTTTCTTTTTGTAGCCAGGAGAGGTGCAACGAAGATTTCATTTTTCTCCTTTCCCACTGCTCCTCTTCCAAAGAAGAGTTTATGTGTTGGATCTGTAGCAAAAGAATCTGGCACAAGATACTCCAGTTACAGAAAGAGTTCAGAGAAAGGTGGAGAGCAGGAACAAGAGCTCTGACAAGTTCTTACAGGCTTAAAGAGGATGATGAAAAGTGTCTGAACTTAGGATGCTCTTCCAGCAAAGTGTCTACCTGCTCAGTTTACTTCTCTGATGTATTTTAGATGTCCACTTTAAGTTGAGGTTAATTACATCCAGACATATCGATCTCCTTTAACTGCAGAGGAAATGTAGTTGAATAGATCCAGTGAAGACATCTACACAGCCAGACACACCTCACTGCAGATCCTTCATACATTTGGTTGCTTTTCTAATATTAGATACATAAACAAACTGAAGTATCAGAACCACTAATGTTTTACCTAATAGCATGATGAAAGGGAAACCCATGTTCTTCAGACACAGCTGCTCTGGACTCACATTGCTCATATTGCAATGATACACCTCACGCTCAGACATGCTGGGATAAGCCACCATCTGTAACCTCTATTGTTATATGCAGCGGAATATCCTGTGTCACAAAATAACAAATGTGGAAGGGAAAATACAGGAAGGGGAAGCATGATAAAACCTAGTATGTATGACACTTGACTGGAGGGAGTTAAAGTGGATTGTTACTGATGTTAAATACATGAACAGCTTTAAAACAGGGACTAAAGGCCCATTCCGCTCTCTCCTTTCAGATTATCTTTACTAGGGCTCTAGGATTTTCTTACATTTTTCCTCATGACCCTAAATTCATTACATTCATGGATGCACAGTAGTTTAATCTCTGATCTGTACTTTGTAAACAGGTCACTTCTTCAACAGAAGCTAAGAACAGAAGTTTGCAATTACAAATGTGCATTTCTTGACTTGCCTTTGGTTCTTCAACCCTTACCTCTTACTGAATAAAATTCCATTAGATTGGGCTCCACAGAAAGTTTGAGACAGGTATCAGGGTACCAGTACCAGCAGGGGCCTTTAAATAGTGATTTAAACCCCTATCCTGTGACAGAAATACTTTCATGTCTGTGGAAAGCTCACATGGGACAGATAACATCACTGCTTTTATTTGCTGTTTCAGATGTTGGGATGATGATGAAAATGGAGTGCTGTTATGGATCATCAAAGGCCCCATTCTGCTAACTGTATTAGTATGTTTTTTTAATTTTGTCTTTAGTATCTTTTAAAATGTGAAATATAATATAGTGTCTCCTTTCAGTAAACTGGGAGAAAAGCGATAGTCCATGCTATGGTATTGAATTTCAAATAGCAGGAAATTATATAGCATGTGTTTTGTTGCTGTTATTTTTGTTGGTTTTGTTGGGACTTTTCCCCCAAAACATCCCAAACCACAAGCAAAAGGGTAAATCCTGTATTTTCTTGTCATCTGCATTCCACGTACCACAGTCATGTCTGTGTCTCTGTAAGTAATTTCTGAAGAAAGGCAATCCATTCCTACAAGATTCTTTCATAATATGAAGCTGATTTAATATGAGAAATACATATAGATCATTTTATCTAGTATATTTTTAAAATAATTTCTTAGGATGTAAACTTAAGACAAAAAATCTCACTTATGCATACGTTTATTCCATCTAAATTTAGAGAGGAAAGAGTATGTCACTTGCATTTGTATTTGATATAATCCCTGTCATAAGTAATGAAGGGAACAGGGAGGACTATTTAGACCATGTAAGATCTACTAGACAAAAAGTACAAGGAGTTAATATCAGACATAAACCAATATTGAGACACATAGGTCTATATTAATTCAACATAACTTTCAGCATAACTGTATGTATAACTATATATTGGTGGGGAAAATTAATACTATTTCTAATGCTATTGATTTGATCTGAGAGCAGATCTGCACTCTTTATAGCAGTGCAATTCCCATGACTGGGGATTTTTAGCTAATTTATATCAACAAAAGATATGTCATGATTTGTATGTTTACAGATTTTGTCTTGTCTTTTCAGATTAACTTTGTTATATTTATTAATGTGATCAGAATTCTAGTCCATAAATTGAAATCTCAAGAGGGAGGAGGGAGCCATTCAAGTAACTTTGTGTAAGTATTTCTAGGTGTCTTGATAGTGATGCATTCTAGCTGCTATAAGAAATGTTTTATGGACAGGAGCACAAAATGTTCTACTCCTTAATGACAGAAAGAGAATTCCCCAGAGGAAATAGTGATGTAAACTTTCCTTTTCATCCCAGATATCACATCTCTCTTTTTCTTCTGGGGGAAAAGGGTAGGGTGGATATGTTGGGGACAGTGAGAAAAGTAAAATATAAAGTATTACAACTCCAAAAGGACACAGCTTGAAAATGTAAACACTTTCAGGTAATGCATTCATCTTTCTTCCAGTGTCTTCTACACAAACAGCCACATAGAGAAGACAGAGATAATTTCCTTTACATTCTTAGGATTAACATGATGCTGATGTTCTGGTAACTGAATCTAGTCCTCCCTGTTCTCGATCCTCTTCACAATCATTTGGAATCTCATCAATGCAGTCAGAGGATTCTAGAAAGTTATTTAACTCATCGTAAGATATGTAGGTATGGCTGTTAGTTATGGCACAGGACCCATAGCATAAACTCATGCCCTTCTGAAGTGAGATGAAGGCCAAGCAGACAACCCTAGGACACCACCAGTGCCTCTCACACCACTGTTTAAGCAACTGAATTAAGTTCTATGGACAGTGATGATTAACAGTTTTGGAAGCTGAGACACTTCTATGTGGCATACCTATATATCATTGAGATTAGCCTCAGGAGGATCAGAGCACTTAGTTTGGTGCCCCTGTTTTTGAATGTATAGCCTGGAGAAGAACCCTTAAACGTCAATACAGAAAACTTGCATGCTGATTTGTTCATCTCTGTTCACCAGGTGTTGGTGGGAATGGCAGAAAGTAATCTTTCTCCAACTTTGTTGGACGTAGTTGCCTCTATTATGAAGCTGTCCTCTGTGTTAAAATTTGTTCCAACATATAATTGTTATCACTAATTCCACATTTCTAACAGTGCATTGTTCTTTAATTCTTGGTTTGCCAGGAGACTTGCTAAATCCACATTACTCTTAATCCCCCTCTTTGGAGTACACTACATTGTATTTGCATTTTTCCCAGAAAGCACTGGTCTGGAAGCTCGACTTTATATTGAGCTGGGCTTGGGTTCTTTTCAGGTAAGCTGAACAAAATGTTTGTCAGTCCAAAGAGGTTTGGTTTGAAACACCACATTTGTGGGATTTTTACAGTTTAGGTTGGTTACTAGAGCAGGTGTTAATAATGTGTCTAAATTCAACACTCATATTCCATTTACTCCTTTGCAAGCTCTTTCTGTTGTTTGTTTCCTTATCTTATTATTTGAAATCTCACACTACTTTTGAGTTCTGAGTCAGATTTCGTATTAATAATCACAAACATTGCCCCCAGTATCTACCTTTATTGAATAACAGTGACAGAGAACCATGAAGATCAGTCTATGGATTAAGGTGAACTCATTGGAAATAATTCCACATAAAATAAAGATGATGATGAGAGGAATGAAAAAATAATATATAACGACCTGTTCTACCCTTACTCTTTAGCAGCAGTGAACGTGTCATATTAATACTTCTTTGTTTCTTTTATTTTGCTATACCACTGTTCAGAAAATTATCTCGGATTTGAGAGGGTCAGGGCCTGGGTATGTTACTGTTTGCAACAAATAGCTGAAGTCTTTTTCCTTCCCCTTTTCCCTGTACCCCACAACAGTTTGTCCACATTGATATGTGTGGAAAATGATCCATCTTCCATGCTTACTTCTCAAGCATGGCCAGACTCTGGGAAAATACTTGCTGGTCCAAGCCAGAGCTGTGTCATGGACCATGCTGACGTTTAACAACTTAAGCAAGCAAAGGCCAGTATTTGGGGCTGTGCCTTGTTCAGTTTACTGATGCAAATGTAGTCTAGCACTGTCCAGTGTTTGCCTGTGTTAGCACAGTCTGTGAAATGGCTTGGCTCCCAGCTGACTAGCACTCCTCCAAACAATGCCTGACTATAGTTCTGGGTGAATATGGATTCCAGACCTTTCCCAATAGGTTGTTAGCTGAACACAGCCATACTCTTCTGTGTGAAAGAAAGATAGTTTAGCAGTAAAGATGCAAAACAAGAGCAGGATCTCACCAAGTTTATTCACTACTGTAAATATAGACTAGAACAAGACAGAGGTCCTTCCTGCCTTATCTGAGGGATAACTTGTTTGTAGGATACAGAAAACAGTTAGTGCTTAATGTCTTCATACAAGGGCAATAATATACATATAATGTCACCAGTCCTTTAATCTTATTATGAAAACCCAGTAAATAGTGACGCATTACCTAAATTCCAGTGGAACAATGGAAAACAAGGGATTTTTTGCTGTCTTGCTCAAATTTTGAATGAAACCTGATGTCTTTCTCTGATTCTATGTCTTAAATCCTGATGGTTAGCTTTTTCTCCCTGTCCTTCCTGTCCTAGGGTTTTGTTGTTGCTCTTCTATATTGCTTCTCAAATGCAGAGGTGAGTAGCTAGTACATAAGATTACCTAAACCTTTAAAACTCATGGGTCTCTCTTGGGTTTTGTTTTTGGGTTTTGTTTGTTTGTTGGTTTGGGTTTTTTGTGTTTTTGTTTTTGTTGTTTTTTTTTCCCCCCGTTTCCAGAACAGATCTGTGCTTCGATTTGCTCCTGAAAGCATGAAATATCTTCTTTTTTTCCCTTGATATCTTTGTTGAATTTATTGGTATTCATGCAGTTCTGACAGAAGGACACAGAATAAGCTTTGAAGAAATGACCCTTTACAAATGACTGGTGACCTTCCTGTTGAGGCACTTTTCTTTTTTTCTGCTTTATGTCTGATAGCTGTCATGATGATGTCTCTATGGAAAGCTTGTAACTGTCCTTACTTTCTTTAGGTTTATTTTCTCCTAGTGAGTTTCTTCTTTCCCTTTCCTTTTCCCTTTCCCTTTCCCAGGGAAGCATGTGCATTGTCAGTAGTTTTGTTCAATTACTTTTCCATTTTCATAACGTTGTTAGAATTTGGATAAATTCCCTGTAGTACATTTTAGAGAGCCTATAATTTCAACATCTAACTAAATTTGCTTGCACTTTCTCCAGAAGTGCAGAATGAATGAAAAGTCATAGGAAAATATAAAAACACATCTCATCCTCAGAAAAGTGTGTAGGTTAGATAAGAAGAATGACCCACTAACAGAGCTTTGGTCTCCCCACTAGCTAAGACTGGACACTTCTCATAGGGATGGTTAATAGGTGGAATTGATCCTATTCAAGGATGAATAATGCCTGAAGTATGGTTGTTAGGAAAACAATTTACAATGGACATTCTAGTGCTGTTCTGAGATAGTGCCTTCAAGACTAACTGTAAATACATAATGCTCTGCTTCCCACCTGCCTTCTGTCTGCATAGAGTCCTTGCCAACAGCCTTTAAATAGCTTGCATATTGTATCTCACAACACACGAATCTACTAGGTGTTAACAAAGGGATAGACAGGGAGTGATCTCTGGCCCCCAAATTAAGTGGTGTGTGTTGGCTTGCATCCATGCTGCGTAGGGATAACGGCTTCTGAAGCAGATTGACTGCTGATTACAACTTGGCAGTGCATCTGTTATGGTTCCCTTCAATCATAAAAATAATTATTGCTTTCTGTGTATGTTTCTTCAGTTTTAAATATCGATAACATTGTGAGACACTGTGCTGCTGCCAAGAAAGGTAGTACCTCTGTGGGATGAAACTGAGGGCTGGTATTGTACACAGGAGTTCTGAAAGGCCTTAAGCTTGCTGGGACAGTAGTGGAGTATTGGGTTGGTGGAGGAAGCCCCTCTTTTATTTATTAGAATCTTGAAAGCTCCAGAGGGTATGTTGTGTCCATACTCGAAGTTGCACACAGAGGCTGTCATGTCTGTGTTTAACAGAGAGAATAAAGACAGAATAAGGGCCATCTCAATGATAGATATTGCCAGTGACTTTAAGTGACCCCTGATGATGAACTTCTGCATGTCCCATCCTATTTTATGTATGTCACTGTAGAGACCATACCTAATAGAGGATAACAGAATTACTAGATGAATTCCTAAATTCAGAGTACTTAAATCACATTGGTCCATACATGCATCCCCTTAATTAATAGTTTCACTTAACAGTTTATTTGTGCATTTAATTTGGAGTGCATTTGTGCTAATGGGGCTACCACTATAACACTGTCATAGATTTTCAGCACTAATGACAGCCACAGAAGATAGCAGCTCTATGGTTAGAAGCATTTGTCATATCTTCTTAGTTTAGGACGACATATGTAAGTCACTTTGTGGACATTCAGGAGAGCCACCCCCCTTGCACAAGAAGCAGATAGAGATGATGATGAATTTGAACAGAGGTTGCAGAACACAGCAAAAAATTAGTCCACAGGAGAAGACTGTTCATGTGAACAGTGGCAAGGACTGGGTGTTTCTCGCATCTACTCACACTCCCTCTGATACAGCTTTGAGTGTGAGATGCTTTATGTAGGGCAACAGAACCTACTTTCCCCCTGTCCCCTCACCCCGGTCACAGTAGTGTCAATCCCTACGACCTCTCAAAAATGTAATATGTGTTCAAGTTGATTCAGTATCTTTCAGAGTCAGTAAGAGATCTTTAAGAGGGATTTCAATTTGGATAAACTGAAAGCCTGGAGAAGGACCTTTATTGTGCATAGCAGGTCACAGCAAGGAGGCACAAAAGATTCGTTATGACAAAACCCAGAAATTATACAAAAAGGTAGAAATACTTTTGAAGCAGACCTACAACAATAAACAATAAAACTGCAGTCAAAAACTTCCTTGTCATCCTCTGAATGTTGGAAATTAAGTATCTCTATTTTCAAGAGTAAATAAGGATATAGTTTACATTCTTCTAAAAATGTATTAAGGCTTAATGCTGACTGATTTGGGTGCCTTTGAGCATCTGGACTAAGTAGTCAGTCAGACATTTTGGCATATTTTACCTTCAATGTCCACTAAGTCTTAATTTTCTTATTCTTTGTATTTAAATTCCTTTTCTATAGGTTCAAAGTGAACTGAAAAAACAAATGTGCAAATGGCAGTATCAAGAATACCTGAACTTCATACACAAACAGAGGATTTTGTCCAGAGAAAACAGTCCAGTCAACTATGTCACTCAGTTATCACTGCTTGAAAAAATCAGTCCAAAAAGGAAAACCTCTATCTACCTGAACAGTGTAACTTCTGTCTGAGCTTTTCTAGCAGGAAAAGTTGCTGTGACATTGTAACATACTACCTAAGAGGTGGCCAGTTTGGATTGTTTATGCCTTTCCATCGTGTCAAGAGCCTTCTGTGAGTTTCTTGTCCTTGTCCTTGTGAGCTGCTTTTCTCACTGGTTCAGTTCAGTGTCACAACCCTGGTTCTCTCTCTCCTTAAGCATACAAAATCCATATGTTCTGTTGTGAAATGACAGACCTTGAGCTAGGTGAATGAACAGGTTAACACCCAAAAAGAAGGACTACATTGACTCCTCCCAGGCCCAGCATGTTTGTCATGACTTTGTTAGTGTTTCCAGAAATTTCCTGTTACAAGAATGCTATTCCTAATCTTCATTTGAAACAGTTATGTGGTGGCAAAAGTTTGACATACTGATTAGTGAAGTTTTACTTGTTGTTTTGAGACTAGCTTAATGAGACAAATTTGAGCCAACTTAATGGAAGTTACATGCAGAAACTTGCTAAGCACCTACATATGGAGCAGCGACCTCCTTTGAAAGGAATCTCAAGGTGTCTCAAGAGTGACACAAAAAAAGAATGAGTTACATTATCTGCTTGGGTTTTTTCTTTCATGCCTGTTGAACATAGAGATTAAATTAGGCCAGAGGACCCCAAACCCTTTATTTTCCATGGTAAAACATGGACTAGCTGAACGTTAGGCAGATTATGTGTGCATGAAGGAAGAACACAGAGTAAACCCAATGCAGTACATCAGCTGGGGTACTTTGGACTCAGAATAATTTGCAGACCTAGTCTTAGTTCCCAGATGCTGGTGCTTGTGTAGCTGGAACAGATGTCCTGTCACCACAGCCTTGAAGATTGGCTGGTTCCATCAATGAAATGCACAATTAAACTGTGCTTTTGTGATTTTTTTGGGATCTCCTTTTGAAAATTAATCTGATATGATTGCTGTGATTATCTGAGTCCTGCCCATCATTTTTCAGCTCATTATCACTCCACTCAATGATCTTTCTGGGGTCAGAATTATCCATACAGCAGTATGGTCTAGTGAAAAAAAGTATGGTCTCGTAAAACAGAGCAAGCCAATGTTACGCTTACATCATTTCTTTGGGTAGCCTTCCTCTTTCTTCAGGACTGAATTGGACTCTACCTCAAACTCTCCAAAAGTAAATAAAGGGCACACGTTACACTAGACACTGTTATAGTTCCTTTCAAGATAGGACGATTCCCAGGAGAACCTGCATTCATACTTGAAAGCACTGCTAGAGACTGTGGCCATTCAAGTACACATAAGCTTTCTGTGAACTGCAATATCAGTTTCGCTTTAAAAAGTAGTGCTCCAGTCCCTCATTTTGCTCTACTCTTGGTTAATTAGGCCAGGGGACATTTGACTTATGGAAACCTCTTTGTTGATTTTGTTGATTTTAGGTACTTCATCTCTAGTTCCACTATTAGAGCAGAGATGAATTGCCAGATTTCTATAAATATGAGACAGATCAGTCCTTTATTAAATAGGTATTTAACACATCTCTTCCAATGAATCAGATGTTCTCTATAAAGTGTAATTTTGTCTCTTCTGTTCTCTTTATCAGTTAATTGTAAAATTAACCTTTGCTCCTGTGTTGTTTAAGTTTGTTTCCTGGTATAGTGATGTGAACACATTTGTATGATGTGCATCTATAAAATGCAAATGATGATTACGGCTGTTGTGAATTTGTAAATTTTAATTATATCAGTTTGGATATCTTGAGACTTTATAAAAAAAAAGACAGTCTTGTAACTATGTTTACTATGAAAAAGTTTTGAGGACACTGAATATGTACAATTTTGATCTTTTCATCCAAGAAAAGATTTGCGTTACATGATCATGCAGCCTGAGTTAATGCTCCACTCCCCTTTCAAGACACTGTCACTAAGACATAGGTCTATGGTACCCTGCTTCTATCTGGTTTTGAGAGAAGACTGTTCAGGTATCTGATCACTTCTGAGTGTTTTCTTGAGGAAATTGTTGTGGTAAACATTACTGAGTTGTCTATATGAAGGAATTGATCTGTATCTCTTCAACTGTCTTGGGGAGAAACAAAGTTGAAGTGAATTATGCTTCTGCTTTTGGCTGACCTGGGAACATTTCTTCTGAAAAAAACCTGGCCTGAGGATTTATGTTATGAGACTTCTCATCCAGTACAATCTCTCCTTTACTTTCTCTCCCACTTAACTTCATTATTTGCTGCATGTATTAGCCATCTTGTGTCACACAGTAATTCCCACTTCCCAGCTGAACTCCCAGAACTGCTGGCATTTGGCTTTAAGGCCAAGCATCTCACTGCATGTCCTCTTCCTTTATTATTGGAAAGCCTCTTTACTGAACCAGGGATCTAGAGGAAGGAGAAATGATGGCAAACAAAGGTGATAGGTCCCAGTACACCACGAAGGATCTTTCCTTCAGTCATTCAGTGTTCAGTCTTCTAAAAATTCAACAGATTTAGCAACTCCACCTTTCCTACCACATCCCACAATCTAGATCGTACCCATATACCATCACCATGCACATTCAGCTTACTTTAACTCCCCAGGTGTCACCTTTTGCCTCAGGCTCTTTTCAATCATCCTCACAACTCATGTCAGAGATCCAACCCAATGTCTCAAACCTCAGCAACCTCAGCAATGCACCAGACACCTGCTCTGCCTGTCCTTTGTCCAAAATGTCCCTGCATCCCTCCCAATGCTATTGACTTTTTCAAGCCTTTTTCTTTTCAAACATTTTGGATCAGGATATGTAAGCCATAAATGGGAATTGAGGGCTATATGAAGATATTCTGCATATGTAATTTGTATAAAGGTCACACTTAGAACAACCTGGTGATGAGATTAATAATCCTGGGGACTGCGAAAGTTTATTGGATGAAGGTTTTGTTTAGGCTGTGAAAGGTTGCTGATCCTTTTTTGATGGCACATCTGAGGATGTGTTGGCATTTGCAGGAGTAGGGAACACTTCAGAGATACATTGCTTCGAAGAAGGTCTGTGAAGACGGCAAAGGGGTTGTCACAAGCTGTGTCTAGAAGTGATGTGCAACCTGCATGGAGGCACTCCCATCTCCTGGTGCATGCTTCTGGACTGTCTGGATGTGTGCAGTCCAGAAACCTACACACTGCACTGAAACATTGTCCCCTGCTCACAGCCAGTATGTCTAACATGAACCTGACATATCCCCTCTCCCTAGTGAAATCTGAATGACTACCAAAGGACAGCTACAACATACAATAAGTTATAACAGCTAAGAAAAGCTACTTTCTTATCCTCTAGTCCCCTGGCATCTTTTACACAGTTTAACTCTTCAAGCATTCTTTTAAAACTTTTTCGAAACTACATAACAACCTGGAAAGATTAAAACCATCTGTTTCAGCTGGTTTTGTTGTTGTTGCAGCAAAGACCAGTTGTTAAGGTGAATGAAATTTCTCACCAAGAGTAGATTTTAAACTTTAATAGCATCAGTGTTTTTTCTGCAAAAAACTTGGTTGTGTGGAATCCAGAATAAAAGAAATCCTTCCAGCAGGCAGTTTTGCCTGCTTTGCCAATACTGAGCTTCCCCAAAGTTGCCTAATCCACCCAGAGCTGGATTTGCAGAGCAGAGCTGAACAGAGGGATGGTAGAAGTCACTGGAAAAAAACAAGCCTGAAAAACATGAAAGGTTTCAGTGCATCTCAAACTAAGGGAAGAAACAGATAATCAACTTAAATATAAGTCCATTGCGTGAAAGAATGATCCTCAGGAAAAAAAAAATACTGTGATAAGAAATATCCAATGCAATACACTTTCTGAAAAGCAAAGGTGGTGTTCAGCTTACAGGTTACAATAGCTAAATTTAGGCATCAGTATGTTGCAGCCTATATATAATTTGGATGTCGTGTTGTTTTTTGTGTGTGATGGGGAGTGTTTGGTAGCAGAGGAGATGGCTACAGTCGTGGCCCCTGTGAGAAGCTTCTCGAAGCTTCCCTGGCTCTGAGTCGGACCCACCTCTGTGCCTAGTCTGGCCACCTAGTAATGGTGGCTGTGCCTTTGTGATAACATAATTAAGAAGGGAAACCTGGGTGGGAGAGTTGTGAGGAGGAAATATGAGGAGACACCTATGCAAACACCAAGGTCAGTGGAAGAAAGGAGGAGAGGAGGTGTGCTGGAGCCGACATCCCCCTGAAGCCCATGGTGAGAGGGCAGGCTGTGCCCTGCAGCCCATGGAGGAACAGATGTCCACCTGAACCCTGTGGAGGACTCCACGCCAAAAGGGGGCTGGGACTCTAAGGGAAGCCCATGCTGTTGTACTTTGGGGCTGGGAGGACTGCAACCTGCAGGAGGGACCCACCCTGGAGCAACTCAGGAAGAGATGCAGCCTGTGGGAAGTTCACGGAAGACTGTCTCCCATGAGAAGGGTCCCACGCTGAAGCAGGGACAGAACGCAAGGAGTCCTCCCCCTGAGGAGGAAGGTGACACAAACTGACTTCAACCCCCGTCCCCTGCCCCTTGTCCCACTTTGGGAGAGGAGGTAGAGAAATCAGGAGCAAAACTGAGCCTGGGAAGAAGGGAGGGGTGGGTGAAGGTGTTTTTAAGGTGTGGTAATGCTTCTCACTGTCCTCCTCTGCTTGTTAAGTATTGTTGTTGTTTGAATTAAACTGACGTACTTCCCCTCCCTGCTTCCCCTCTCCCCACACTTCCCAGCCTCATGACCATAATGGGTGAGTCATCCTTTTCTGTCCTTATCTCTATTTCTGAGCCTTTTGTTTTATACTCCTTCCCATTCTGGAGGGGGAAGGAGTGAGCGAGAGGCTGCACCTCAGTTGCCCTCTGGTCTCAAACTATGACAGATGTCTAAACCAGTGGAAGTACTAGAAATATAGTTAGTGAAATCCATGAGCCACTTGGCTTTCCCTAAAGCAAGCACTTACATTTGGCCAACTGTATAGTTTCTAGACATTGATCTAGAGTTGGATTCCTTTGCATGAACATAGCTGTCAAATGTCTTTGGGCATCCAAGATACCCGCTCTGTCCTGGAGATATGACTCAGATTTTTGAACACTTGTACTTTTCTGGAAGAGCAGCTGGAAGCCAGGCAGGACACCACACAGCTCCCCAGATCACACTAGCTACTTGTATTTAAGCATCCAATTCCTGCTCTTTGTGTTTATATCTGCAGTGAAAGCTTGGGCACTTGATCCGTGTATACATGCCTTCCTATTCCCTCAGTTGTAATCTGTGAGATAAACTCAACTCTATATGTAAAGCGTATTAAAAGAGGGTCATAGCTTGCTTTCTTTGTATTCAGGTTACCTGTGTGGTTGCATCACAAGCATGTTATGACTGTCATCTGCTAAACTTCTGTTCAAAGATGGCTCCTCTCCAGCAAATTCAATCTCAAATCATGTGAGTGGTCGAAGTTGATAGAATCCACACCCAAGATTAAAAACTGATTTTAGAGGAGCCACACCCAACCAATGGTGAGTGACTAAAACCTGAAATGCAGAGATGGGTCCAACTTTTTTTGAAATCCAGTGGTTAATAATTGCTCAACTATTGGAACACTCTACAGAAACTCCCAGGTACAGTTTGATGGCTGTGGCCCAGTATATAGAAGTTTCTAGAAATAGTCCTTTAGTAAAGTCAGACATCTATAAGTCTTTATGATATGGGGTTACAAAATGGTTTAAAATTAATTTAAACCATGGATAAGGATGGTTTAAAAAAATTGTTTTTTAGTATCTGCATGAGAATTTTTCAGTTTCAGAAAATACAGCTGTATTCGAGGCAGTACTCTCTTTGGTGTGTTGACAGATCTACTAAATGAGGTTTTTTTCAGTGTTTGCTTCTTGGAGCACATGTGCTACAGTGTGGTATTGTTTCTTGAAAAATGTGGATACTTATACAGGACTTTTAGAGTGGGCTGAAATACTTTTGGAGGTGTCTTTTCTTCCTCTGACTCTTAACTATAAAAGGAGCCTAAAAAAACCCTCAGACTAGATGTAGCCTTTAGAGATAAGGCCTTTTCCAGCTTCCCTGTTCCACATTTGTTAAATCTCCCTGTTTAGCAAGGTAGTGGTTGATGCAACCCTTCTGCATATGGTGGAAAGGGAAGATATGTCCTGTGTTGTGTTATCCAGCACTCAGAGAAGGGGCTGAGGCTGCCTCCGATCACCTAGTAAATCCATGTAAATGGATTACCATAGGGTATTTACAATTATTTGAAATGTAGCAAAAATGAAAATCCATATATCTGTACTGTGCCCCTGTCCTGGGTTGCAGTGTATTTTATTACCATCCTCATGAGTTGTTGAAATCAGGTGGGGCAGTATTCCCTTGCCTCCTCCCCTCAGGCTATCTTTCTGTTAATGGCCCATCAATGCCATGCAGCATAACTCAGAGATAACTCCCTCTGGACCATCTTCTGTTAATGAGCTTAATCAACATTTGTCTTCATGACTCATTATCCCATTGTGAGATGCTCCACCCAGAGGGAGGAACCAAGTATTCCATCCTGGATATAAT